ATATTTTGGGTTGAACTGTTCTGGAACAGTGTTGTAAATACAACTTAACCACTGATTTCTAGTCGTGTCCTCTTTTGGAAGGCCAAACAAAGTAGTTTCACTTTCACAACGAAACACACAGCGTCACACAGGGCGGGCTTGAGTGAGCGGCGGCGGGCTTGAGAACAGATGAGCAGATTCAACGAAGGAGCGGCCGGCGGGCTTGCGGCACCCACATATGACGACCCCGGGCTGAACGGATTGCGAAAGCGTGCGCACGGATTATGAATTTGTGGGTACGGATTCAAAATCCGAAGGTACGGTTTACAAAATCTGAGCGCACGGATTGGAAATTCGTGGGTACGGTTTATTAATCCGTGGGCACGATTTGTTAAACCGAGGGAACAGTTTAATAATTCGTGAGTACGGTTTATAAATTGAGGGGACGGATTGCAAAACCGTCGCCACGGATTGTTTTTTTTTCTCCTACAGGTGACTTCCCGGGCTCCGTACGTACAAAATGGCTGTATGATCAGTATGGCTGTTTAGACAAAAGACTAACGAATTGATATCCGTTTGGATCTTTGCGATGAAACGAGTTAAGAAAAACGGTCTGATTCAGACTGAATAACTCAGTCAATTCTATCAGTTTTTCCCCCCCAGTTCTATTTATATTTATTTTAAAATTTTCTGTATTTCATGACTTGTTCTGGTCAAAACTGAATTATTCTGAAAACAAATCATGATGATGCTTAAGCAGGGACAAGTCTGATATTGGTTTAAACAGGTGAGTTAGAACAGTAACTAAATCCCTCACACTTGTCCCAATTAATATAATCCTAATCCAGCTCTCTCATTCTCTCATAAAACACAGCATACGGCACATCATGATCTAATGTCGGCCCTGACACAAATACACCACATTGACTGTCTACGTTTACGTTATCGTTCTCATAAAAGGTGTAATGTATTAACATAAATAAATAGAAAACATGTTATACAGGTCTTGAAGTATCATTAACAGACCAAAAGATCCAGAACTTACTTTCTCTTTGTCTTTTCCAAAGTCTTACTTTCTTGAGTCTTATTTGTGTGAGTCTCTGGAAGCTTCTAGAAAAAATACAACAACATATTTAGTGCATCATGATATCTGATGCATCAAATGTCCATGGTCTCATGCAGCATCTCGCCTGGATAAAAAGTCATGCTGGGATTTTGGTAATTTCCTAATGAGTGCGACCTGCTGTACCCCACACACGTCACTCACAGATTAATCAGCGGTTATACAGGTGGCAGCACTTTTGCTTATTAATTTTTTCGTCAATGTCACATTCGACATAACTGCAGCTCAGTCTCATCATGAAATACCATGTGAATTCCCTTGTGTTTCTAGGCACGTGCGGATGAACCCACCATGGTGACGCAGGACTCAGGTCCACTCCACACGCCCATGATTTTCACAGAGTTGGGGCTGGGGAGCCTTCTGGGTAATAAGTCTTGACTGTTCTGGCCTATCTGGGCCGGCTCGTACAGGCTGTCTGTAGAGCCATCCTGCACCAAACACAAAGTAAGAATAGTAGAAAGATATTTAGTCTAAGAGATATGAGCCTTCTCATTTGTTTGCATGCATAATATGAAGCACAGTATTACCCTGAGTGGAAATACCTCCAAAATGTTCATATTTCACCTGCATTTTTAACAGTTTTTGTCCAATTGCAACTCTAAAACAGGGTTACTAGGGTTAAAGAGATTTTAGAGGTGATCGATGACAGGTTAAAGGTGACGAATCACAATTCTGGTTTAAAGAAGAGACATTTTTACCCATCTGAGTATTCTTTTTTTAATTTTCTAATTAAAATCTTCTAATTTGTATTCTTTTTACCTCTGCATTATTTTCCTCTCTCTCTCTCTCACACACACACACACACACACACACACATACATATATATATATATATATATGCATACACACACTAAAAATTTTTTGTATAAAAACAATTTTCACTTTTCTATTTCATAATTAATTACAAAGAAGCATTCTCCAATAATTTGTGTCCTTTAATTACAACTTTGAAAAATAATTTTTACAGTGTGTGTGTGTGTGTGTGTGTGTGTGTATATACAGACTCTAAAAAATGATCGCATCATATGCACATTATCTCTGCGATTAAACAATAACCATGCGGCAGATGTGTGGCTAAAGGCTTGATCTTTGATTTTTAGATCTGCATTCTATGAATATGGATTGGATTGTCCAGAGACCATTTTCACACATGTTCTGGAGCTACAGGCTGTTGTTGGATGGATATTTCTGGATTCGGGGAATGTAGTGGCTGCTCAAGACCTTCAGAGGTGCTGTGGTGCCCCTGATCTATGAATAGGACATTTTCCTTTCTGTTGATCCCTGATCTGCTGTAAGGAGCTCTTTGTCTCACGGTAATCCTTACCTCCTTTCAACGTTTCCATACAACCACAATCCCATTTTCACCTGCCGTAAGGTAATGTCATGATATCTACAGCTAAAATTAGCATTTTAGCAACTTTTTGGTTTGTAATATAAAAGTCTGTTGGAAAAGCATCACTTGAGTATACTAAACCACTGTTGTTATACAAACACAAGTACAGCTCAAGTTAAACCAACACCAGTGGAATCAAGGATCTAATCTTGTTCTTTTACCGGCAGAGACACAGATAATCAGTTCAATCTGATATGGCATACAGTTTCAGCGTGAATCAGTTCAGATCATGAGATGTCAACCTCTCATTTCTGTTAATCTTCTGGAATAGCTGATGAATCACTCCTGATAAAAAACTGAGTCCATATCCTGCTGTCAGAGTATATAAATGAGCAAACAAGGAAACTTTGTCTTACCAGAGTGAAGCAGAAGAGGTTCATTTTCCAAGTCTTAGTCTGTGTCCTTGCGGCTTCACACACTTTGATCGGAGCGGTGCATATGTGTGTGAGTGTATGTGAGAGGTCTCACGCATATATAAAGAGTGCTGGGATTGAGTGGCTGTTGTACTGTGTGTGGCCTCACAGATTAATGCAAGTTGAAAATCCCTCCCATAATCCAATAGCGGCAGTAGGCTGTCACTCTTTAGGTGCCCCGGCCCTTCCAGCTAATGAGCTGCAAATACCCCAACGGTCCCATCAAAACAAACGTCCTGTCTACGTGCTGTCAGCGGGGGACAGGAGGACACGTGACAGAGGTGGACACCTCTTTGACATGATTTAGTTTTATTACTCAAGTAATGACGAGTGAACAAAGTTTCAGAGTGAGTTTGGCCTACAGTATTGGTAAAAACATGGTATTTTGCTAAATTACAGTACTCATATAAACTTCCTGTCAAAGGTTTGGAAAAATTATGATTTTTAAAAAATGTTTTTACAGGAACACTCTCATGCTTATTACGGATACATTTATTTGATTTAAAAAAAAAAGTAAAAATAGTAATATTGTGAAATATTATTACAATTTAAAGTTTTTTATTTTAATATATTTTAAAATGTAATTTATACATTTCCTACCTTTCTTATATTTAACAAGGTTGAAGGTTTCGAGTTTTTATTTATTTATTTATTTTTTAAGAATTTAATATTTTTATTCAGCAAGGACGCACTAAATTGATCAAAAGTGATATTTATAATGTTACAAAAACTGTCCATTTTAAAGAAATGCTCTTATTTTGAACTTTCTATCCATCAAATCCTGATTTTATTTCATAATAAGCAGCAAAACTGTTTTCAACATTGATAATAATAAGAACCCGTGTTAATAATAGAGCGCAAAATCCACATATTAGAAACATTTCTGAAGGAGTGTGTGACACTGAAGACTAGAGTAATGATTGCTGAAAATACATTTTAACATATGTTAAAACAGAAAATTGTAATAAAATTTTACAATATTACTGTTTACTGTATTTTCAATCAAATAAATGCAGCCTTGGTGAGAATAAGATTTTTAATTGGTATTAGATATATATGTTTTTACTTTATACTCAAAATAAAGTCCTAAAAGCATGTCCTTAACAATATGGTTATACCATGGTACTCAATTGGCCTTGGCCCTTTAATGTCTTATTGTTTAACACAACATTAGTCAGGCCCAGCAGGTCTATTTTCGACTATGGACTTAAAGTGCTTTTCTTATACTCATCCTGGAAAAGTTTCAAGGTTAGTCGGTCACAGAAGATCTGTTTTTAGATTGAAATATTGAGAGTGAGTGCCTAAACACTTCTCAAATGGAAATGTTTCCTGAACATGCAGGTTTTGAACTGGTACTTGAAGTACTATGTAAAGTATGAGCATATAATCTCTGGACTCTTGCACGTGAGACAATGTGACTGGCCGCAGACAAAAACAGCTGATGTTGAAAGTCAGTTTCCTGCTTGAGTGTGAACAAGGTCAGAGAGGTGTTTGTGGTTATTATGCCTGCTCTTTATAGCTTTGACAGTGTTGTTGACAGGTCATTGCATTTTTCACCTGTTAGCGCCCCCTTTTGGGTAAAATAACAAAATATAAATAACAAAATAAAATAAAAATGCATATTATTCATTCATTAATTCATTAATTCATTAAAGGTTATTCAGAGGCAACAAGTTAAAATAATAATAATAATAATAAATAAAAATAAAAAACACCAGTTATTACAGTAAAATCATAGTACACTAGTATATGAGCTCTTCCTGTTCCACGCACACTTTTATTTTTTAATATGAAAATCCATCATTAAAATTTAATCAAATAAGTGTATAAAAAATAATACCATACATGTACATAAACATAAATAGCCTACACTAAAAAGTATTTATTGAGTGGAAATTATTTAAATAAATTACGACTGTCCCTCAGTTGTGATGTCGTCTACATCGCGCGACTAACATTTTTGTCACATGTATGTTTTTTCAAAGGTTTTTGGTTATCCAGAATGCAACGATGAAGATCCTAAAGTGAAATATTAGTGAGGGTGTAATTTTGTCAAGTTACACAAAAAGTGTGAGAATATTATTTCGTTTTGTGTATTGAGGATAAATCAAATGATAGAAATTAGCCATAGCAAGACAATAAGTAAATAAATAAATCTGTCTGCCGTTTTAGCCAAGATGTTTAAAATATAATTTCACCACAGTTATTTCCATCACTGAGTGTTGTAATTTTGGCGAAAACTGATTACAACGGTAAATGTTTCATCATCCACCTGAGGCCCGTGATTTATAATAAAAGTAATTTTTCGGCGTTTTGCTTTTCACATTCTTTGTCAGTCATAATGTTCACCCAACACCAAACTGTGCCCCAAACACATGCAAAACGGTCAGTAACAAAAGTCGAGGAACGTGTTTGTTTATTATTTACATTTGTGGAGGAAGCGAGAGGAAGCCAATTTTGTCTCGACTTTTACACTCTTCGGGTCTTCGCCACTTGAGGGCGCTGTTGCTCGTACTAAAATTGTAACATCGCACCAAAACCACACTTATCAAAGCTTTGAAATGAGAGGCAATTCATATGTGCAGCATGTTCTGTTCGGTTCTGTTCTGTTCTTCTTCTCTCTTTTTTTAAATTGCTTTATGTCATTTGATCACATTACATGGGGTAATATATTGGTATTGGTTTATTAATTGTGTGAATGGTGAATGGTATATTAATTGTGTGAATGGTAATTGTTTTTGTCCATTTTTTATGCAACATGAAAATGAAACGTTAGAGTGAAAATATGAGTGATATATGGGTGATTCTATAATTGGAGATACATTTGGCATTGCAGAAAGTTAAGAAAAAAACTTTTCACTAACAGATTTTTTTTTCACTATCTTATTGAAAAAATATTTAATTTGAATAATTCAGTGCTTGCCAAACACAAGTTACTTCCTTTTTTTACTTTTAATGAACACAATGATACATGATGGAAAAAATGCACTGACTAATTCGGACAACAAGAAATCATGATTTTCAGCTATTTAAGACCCTTTTTGCAAAAAATATTATATTATTATGGACTGTAACATCTTGTAATTCATAATAATGAGTAACACAGTATTAAAATAATTAAAAATATAACCATTTGAAAAAAAGCAGAAATAAATAATGACTTCGGACACCCAATGTACCTGCAATTATAGAATCGCTCATATAATGTAAGGTGGTCACAAAATATGCAATGTGTAGAAATAACAATAAATCATAACAGGAAAAATCCTTCTTGTTTCATTAGACAAACAGTCCTTACATTCCATCACTTGAAACTGAGATAATATTTCACCTATGCATACCTTAAAAAAAAAAATACATATTTCTTCACAGAACCGTCCACTTGGAGCAAATATGTTTAATCTGAAAATGTATTATATACAATATCCAGTAAAAAAAAATGTTGTTGAAATATTATAAGGGTGCAAAAATAAATCAATAATGTTTATTAGATTTTAAACAACAATTTTATTGTTTTTTGGGAAAATAGTTCATAAACAGAGTTGACCCTTTAAGTAACAGAATTGTAAAGTAACAGAATTGACAGAATTGTCCAATGGACTGTCAATTCTGTTACCGCATTGTCAGCACTGTTACTCTACCTTGGTAACAGAGTTTGACGGTAACAGAATTG